CGTGCATTATGTGTGTGCCGACGTGAGATGAGCATGCATGGGTTTCCTTCCTGCTTCCTCCTTGCGTTTGATAACATGTCCGCTATTTTGAAACGTGCCGCCTTCCTTGTGCTCTCAACGCGCGCGGCCTGTCGCACTCTGCTGCCCCCGAGCTAGTGTTCGAGGCTCGCCTGGGGTCACCTCTCGGCGGCGCCCGAAGCTCGCGGCAGCCTGGAGCGAGTCCGGCGTCTTTCGTTCTCGTCATCTGGCGAGGCTGGCTGCCCTCAGAACCGAAACGCCTCCGAGGAGGGCGCCAGGCACCCCTCGAGGCAGGTGGGAGCTTCCCGAGTCTGCACCGCAGTCTCCTCGCCAGATCCGAGCTCGGACTGCTCGGCAAACTCGTCGACCGCCTTCAGCAACAAACTATAACAACCCAGCGAGAACTGGATATATATATTTATATATATATATATATGTATATATATATATATATATATATACATATATATATATGTATATGTATATGTGTGTATATATATATATATATCCAGAGCGGGACCCCGAGGGGGGAAAACCGAAAAACAAACAGCGGCATCACCAGAACCAGTCAAAGTTCTGCACGGACTTCTTGGATCTGCGCTGGGCCCTCCCTTGGCGGCGCCTCTGGCGCTGCCCCTGGAGCGCTCCGCGCGCCAGGGAAGGGGGCCCAGCGCGGGTGCAAGACGTGCGCCCAGACTGCCGAGCGATTATGCTTATGCTTATGCTGTTGCTTCTTCGAACTCAGGGAGGAGGAGGCGGAAGAGGAGGAACACGAGGAGGAGGAGGAGGGAAAGGAGAGGAGGAGGAGAGGGAGGGAAAGGAAGAGGAGGAGGAGGAGGAGAGGAGGAGGAGGAGGGAGGAGGAGGAGGAGGAGGAGGAGGAGGAGGAGGATGGAGGAGGAGGGGGAGGAGGAGGAGGAGGAGGGGAGGAGGAGGAGGAGGAGGAGGAGGAGGCGGAGGAGGAGGAGGAGGAGGAGGAGGAGGAGGAGGAGGAGGAGGAGGAGGAGGAGGAGGAGGAGGAGGGGAGGAGGAGGAGGAGGAGGAGAGGAGGAGGAGGAGGAGGAGGAGGAGGAGGAGGGGGAGGAGGGGGGGGAGGGGGGGGGGGGGGAGGAGGAGGAGGAGGAGGAGGAGGAGGAGGAGGAGGCGGAAGGAGGAGGAGGAGGAGGAGGAGGAGGAGGAGGGGAGGAGGAGGAGGAGGAGGAGGAGGAGGAGGAGGAGGAGAGAGGAGGAGGAGGAGGAGGAGGAGGAGGAGGAGGAGGTTTGGAGGAGGAGGAGGAGGAGGGAGGAGGAGGAGGAGGAGGAGGGGAGGGGGAGGAGGGGGAGGAGGAGGAGGAGGACCAGCGTAAACCCAAGAGCCATCAACGATGTGAAAATTCACCCTCCCTCCAAGCTCCCTCTTCATAGGCCCCTGCAACGGTCCATTTCCCTTGAGGGAACCGCGTCGTTGGAAGAGAACCGTTTGAAGACCTTGACGAAGCATGCCAAAACTTTTTTCAGGATTTCCATGGCACGGATCAACCTGACTGCTGCGTCCTGACGATCTGGAATCGTGCCACAAGGCCATTTGGGGGACTTCAAAACCGCGAATCAACATAACTGCTGCTCCCGCATAAGCCTGAATCAATACACACACAAATTCTGGTACGATGAGCATGGGAATCCGTGAAACTTTCGCAACTGCTTACAACGAAGTTGCTTGGCGCTAAGGCGAAAACCACATTTTGAAAACGACCCGCCCTCAATCCGTGAAGCTGTTGCAATCTTTTGCAACGAATGTGCGCGGCGCTAAGGCGATAATCACATTTTCAAAACCATCCGCCTTCAATCCGCAAAATACTTGCAATTGTTTACAACGAATGCGCGCGGCGCTAAGGCGAGAGCCACATTTTGAAAATGGCCCGCCCTTAATCCGTGAAGCTCTTGCACATTTGTCGAAGGAATGCTCGCGGCGCTGAGACAAGAACCACATTTTGAAAACCACCTGCCCTCAATCTGTGAAATTACTGTAACAGCTTAACGTGAATGTGCGCGGCGCCAGGGCGAAAACCACATTTTGAAAACGACCCGCCCTCAATCCGTCAAGCTCTTGCACACGTTTCAAACGAATGCTCGCGGCGCTGAGGCGAGAGCCACATTTTCAAAACCACCCGCTTTCAATCTGTGAAATTAGTGCAACGTTTTAAAACGAATGTGTGTGGCGCCAAGGCGATAACCACATTTTGACAACGACCCACCCTCAATCCGTGAAGCTCTTGCACATGTTTCAAACGAACGCGCGCGGCGCTCAGGCGAGAACCACATTTTGAAAACCACCCGCCCTCCATTTGTGGAGTTGTTGTCATTCGTTAAGCTTCAGAGTCATAAATGGCACAGAAGTCTCAGGCGAAACGCCCAGCCCGCCCTAATATTTAGCCCCGGTGTGCGACAGGGGGACTTTATTATCTTGCACAGGGTGTCTAGAGCTCCGACCACTTTATTTCGGCACCGCACCCCCCCCCCTTCATCATCATCATCATCGTCGTCATCATCATCATCATCATCATCATCATCATCATCACCATCACCATCATCACCATCATCATCATCATCATCATCATCATCATCATCATCATCACCATCATCCTCACCATCATCACCATCATAATCACCATCATCATCATCATCATCATCATCATCATCCACATCATCATCATCATCATGCGCCCCCTCCGTCTCAGCGCCCTCCCGCGGCCCCAGCGCCCGCCCAGTGACCCCTCCGCCCCGACCATTTTATTTCGGCACCGCACCCCCCCCCGCTCCGCCCCCTCCCCCGCGCCGTCTCAGCGCCCCCCCGCGGCCCCAGCGCCCGCCCAGTGCCCCCTCCGCCTCGACCACTTTATTTCGGCACCGCACCCCCCCCCCCGCTCCGCCCCCTCCCCCGCGCCG